GAAATCCAGGTCTCCTACTCCTCCGCCATCTTGCTCCGCCCCCTCCCATAATTCGTTTTTAAAAATTGTCGTGGTCTTAGCTATTTGTTTCTAGTTTTCAATATTTTAAATGTTCGCAGTAAACATCTTTTTACAAATATTTTTGTCCTTGTTGGGAATTGTTTATTATTTATTATTTTTTTTTTTAAGTAGGCTCCACAACCAGCATGGAGCCCAGTGCAGGGCTTGAACTCACAACCCTGAGATTAAGACCTGGGCTGAAGTGCTGAAATCAAGAGTCAAGACACTTAACTGGCTGAGCCTCCCAGGCGCCCCAACTGATTATTTATTTATTTATTTTTTGAGAGAGAGTGCACATGAGCAGGGAGGGGTGGGGGCGGGCAGAGGGCGATGGGGGAGAATCTTAAGCAGGCTCCATACCCAGCACAGAGCCGTCTAGGGGCTCTATCTCACAACACTGAGGTCATGACCTGAGCCAAAATCAAGAGTCAGACACTTAACCAACTGAGCCACCCGGGCACCCCCTGATTGTTTATTTTTAATAGTCTTCTGTAAGTGTTAAATATTTGAAGTTTTTCAGTATCTTTTGCCATATTGCTTTCCAGAAAGGTAATATACACAGTTTTTACCTTCACCAGTTTTAAAGATTTATTTATTTATTTTAGAGAGAGAGTGCATGCACCCGAGCAAGGGGAAGGGGCAGAGAAAGAGGGAGAGAATCCTTAAGCAGACTCCCCACTGAGCACAGAGGCTGACCCTGGGGCTTAATCCCGGGACCCTGATTTCATGAGGAGCCAAAAACAACAGCCTGACTTTTAACCGACTGAGCCACCCAGGCACCCCTACCTTCACCACTTTTGTGTACACCTTGTCACTTCTCACCAACAATGACCATTATCTTACTTTCAAATACTTGCTAATTTGGTAGTTGGAAAATGGCATCTCATTGTTTTGATACATTTCTTAAATATAAATTCATTAATAAGAGTAACAGGATTTCACAAGAACATATTGTAATGAAAGGAAGTAGGCTTTTCCTAGTGGGTGGTTGTAATGGTTACAACTGTGTGGGTGCGCAAACACGAGCACTGGATTCCTGGGCCTAAAATACGATTATTATTTTTTTTTCTAATAGGTCTTGGTATCTCGATGGACAAACACTACTAATAATCATTTGTGTTGGCATTGTGTTCCCTCTTGCACTTCTTCCTAAAATAGGTAAGTCTTTAGAGAAGAGGACAGTTTTTGTTTGGAAGGAAGGAAGAAAGAAAATAATGTTAAGGGGCTTTTAAATTTCACAGTACCACATTTTTAGCAGAAGGGTGGTAGCAGTGAAAATTTTGAACTTGGACTTATTTTAGGTTGTTCGGCCTTCAGCCTTGCCTAGTTAGCCTATTACTTGGTTTGCAGTAGTATTTTGTCTGCCCCACTAAAATAAAATCTTTACAGTGGAACATTAAAGAGCAGCTTTTCCTCCCAGTGTACCATTAGTGGTAAGCCAGTTCCACTTCTGCTGTACGGAGCTGCATAAATGATCTGTGACAGATAGTTGGAATGTTGTTATTCTCAGCCCTAAGCCCCAGATACCAAGCACTGTAATGGAAAACATGCCCAAGATGTATAGCTTTAGCTGTATGTTAGGATCACTTTCCTTATAAATTGCTTTTTATTTTACTGTTATTTTACAGGCTTTCTTGGCTACACAAGTAGTTTATCATTTTTCTTTATGGTGTTCTTTGCTCTTGTGGTAAGTTTAAAATATAGCATATTGCTTGTCTCCTCACTGAAATTGAACTTATTGTGTTAATGTCTTCTTTTTTTCTTTTAACTCTGTTTTCTGTCAGAGTTTTATTTCAGTGTGTTATTAAAAGCACTTTTATTCCACAAAATTATTTCCTTTATTGTATCTATTTTGAAGAGGCTTAGCTAGAGCATCCTTCCAAATGCAGTATCTCTTTTGGTTAACTAGAAAGGAGAGCACACTGATTCTGTTAAAACCTTAGATGAAGTTTAATTCTTTGTGTAGGTGTGTGTATCAGTTTATTTCTGTATAATACTGGGTGTGTATGTGATTCAGCTCTTCCTTGTTGTTGAAAAATGAGTGAAAGAAAATGCTACCCAGGGCGCCTGGGTGGCTCAGTCGGTTAAGCGGCTGCCTTCGGCTCAGGTCATGATCCTGGAGTACCGGGATCGAGTCCCACGTCAGGCTCCCTGCTCAGCAGGGAGTCTGCTTCTCCCTCTGACTCTCCTCCCTCTCATGCTCTCTGTCTCTCATTCTCTCTCTCGCAAATAAATAAAATCT